AGATTTATTAATAAATAAACAAACTAAAAGATAAAAATACTAAAATAAAAAAATACAAAAAAAAAAATTAATCACAAGCAGAAAAGAATAGCCTTGCACTATTTTATAAAAGAAAGGTTATATATAGCTATCGCTAAATAAATTAGATTGCATCTAGTAATTAATAGTTATCTTTTTTTATTGAATTTAATCCTCTATATATATATTTAATATTATGTCAAATATATTAACTATATTAATTATATTAACAAGCTTTATTCACTAATAAAAAAATGTTCAGCTTAAGATTTTATAATAGAAATAATATATTTTAACTAAAAAGTAAAAAATAAAAAACATGAAGTTAAATTAATATAAAGAAAGACTAACTTCCTAATTTTTTAGTATTTTAAATTGTATTTAAATCCAAATTGACAAAAAAGAAGAATACTTTTTATATTTTAATTTTTTGAGTATATAATTCCTTAATCAAAAGCATTTGAGAATAAAAATTTTTTGAAAGTTATTTATTAAAAATAATTCAAAAAAACTTTCTGCTATTTTTTTCATTAAGAAGTATATTTAAAATTTAAATAAATTAATAATCTTAATTTATTTTAAAAGCTTTATTATATTTTAATATATTTATATAAAATAGAAGTTCTAAATTATATCACAAATATTTAATTTAAATAAGTTTTACTATATTGATTAAATTCTTTACACTTGTTACATTTATGATCCTTTTTTATTACTTATCTTATTATTATTAATATTTATGTTTTTATGTAATACTCTCTTAAAATTTTAATATACTTATTTTGATAAATAATCCTTATGATATGTAATAATGAGATTTAAAACTTTTATAATTTAATTATCAGTTTTATTAAGTGAATTAACTTTAATTTAAATATTAACCATAAATGTTTTAAGTATAGTAAATAATTTATAATGTATATTGACTTTGATAGTAAGATCAATAACTTTTTTTTAGATAAACTAAACAATTTAGCATATAGAAGGCAATCAGCAGAAAAGCAAAAAATCTACTTTTAAATCAAAAATTTTTATTGGTTTATTTTACTAATCATAGTCATGTGAAAAAACTAGCTTAATAATTAAAATTACGCAAAATTTATAGATTTTTCATTTTCTATTGACTATTTCTATATTTTTTTTTTTTAGATTTTTTAACAGATATTTTAATTTAATTTAAAGTATACAAATTAAAAATAAATATTATAAATTATATTGCTTTAAGTCAGTAAAATTTCTTGTTATTGAATAAATGAACATAATGAAATAATTACAACTCGCTGTATAAGATCTGTTTTCAAAAGATTTAAATCTTGATATTACTATTTTAAAATAAGGTTAATTTAAAATACTGCTAAATAAAATATATTTCAATACAAAAAAATAATAATATATTAGCCTTTTTTAATTAATAATAAATATGTACTATTATTAAATAAACTATATAATAGCCAATACCTTATATGTTAATTACTCATATGTAAATTTAAATAATAATATATCTTTAATCAAAAATTTAAAAATATTTTATTATTGAGAAATAAGATAATTTATTTTTTGAGAATATATATTTATAGGTTTACTGTTAATTTGAGATTTATATTTGTTTGATTTTATACATTCATATGTAACTAAGGTTATTAGACAAACTTAAAGGTTTTACAAGTCATCTAAATAAAAAAAGGTAAAATTTAACAATATTAAAAAATCTGTGAAATTCAAGAAAAGGTAAAACTATATCAAAATCTTAATAAAAAATTAGTAAAAATATAGTTTAGATATTTTGTCAAATCCAAAATGAGTTTAGACAAGCAATTTTATATGTAACCTTTCTTAAAACACCTTCTTTTAATTCATTTTAGCAAGTTTATAGCTAAAACTTTTCTGTAATTTATAAGGATTAAATTAAGTTTTGCATTGTATTTAGAATTCAAAAGCTAAACCTTTAATTAAAAATAACTTTGTATTGTTATTTTTAGATTTTATTTTAATAAAAAGTAAAATTTAGAATAAAATTGTAAAATCAATAATAATGAAAATTAATAATCAAAAAAAGTTTAATATATATAAATTAACATCATATAGTTATATAATCACAAGTATAGATAGAAATCTATTAAGATATTCTCTATTAAAAAACTAAAAATTGAAATTTTGTTAAATAATTAGAATCTGATTTTTTAACAATCTTCTTTTATATAAAATATTTATTATTTATTAAAATAATATTTAGATTTAAGTAAAAAATATGCTTATATATTAAGAGTAAAAAATTATTTTATTTTTTAAATATAATTTTTAATAAAATATAAATTTTTTTATTTATTTTATTTTTTTTTTTTTAGTAAATTAATAATACTATTTAATTTTTTAATTTGTATATTTTACAGATTCTATATATAAATTATAATAATAATAAAAATGTTTTTAATTTATTTATTTTAATAAAAAAATTAATTTCTGTTAGATTTTTTTTTAACTTAATTAATTTAAATTAATTTTATATTAATGATATTTTGAATCTTGATCTTAAGCATTTTTGATAGAATTTATAAAATCTTTAACAGAATGCCCTTTAGGACAATCATACCAACTTCCATCTTTAATACATCTTTTTTTTCCATTAATAAAAATCGTGCAACTTTTATTTGCTTGATAATCCTTTGCTCTTTTAACGCTTTCAATAAATAAATTCAAACCAATATCAGAATTTACACATTCGTCAATTGGACCATAATCCTGTCCAACTTCTTCTGAGCATTGTTTAGCCCATTTATGTGAACCAATAAGGTTAAGTGAACGATGAGTACATAAAAGATAATTGAAAAAGATCAAATCATTCGGAATAGCTTTGTGGAAGCAAAGTTCTTGAATGTTTCCTAGAAAAGAGATTAAATCAATAGAGATTTTAATAATAAATAAATTTTAGAATTGAAATAGATTTGATCAGTACCCTTGCATTCTAGATCTCCATGTTTGCAAGTAGCTCCGTATGTAGCAGAGGAATTTAATGTTGCAATATAATTGGTTTTAAAAGTTGAAATATCGTTTACTTCTTTTGCTATTTAATTTCGGTTAACATACAAATCTCTTATGTATAAAAAACAAAAAAAAAGCTAATTAAATTATCTAATTGTTGTGTTACACACCAACTTCTGCCATAATTGCTTCGCATTCGACAGCGTCTGGGCAGCGACTCATTACAAATAATTCCACCAGAACTTTATCTTTTTCAATAATAAATTGTTCTTTCTGAGAAGTAAAACGTCTTCCCAAAATAAAAAGAAAATAAATAAAAATAATAAATAACAAAGTAGGCCGCCAATTAATAGTAGACATCTTTTCGTAAAGAAAGCAGAAAGTAAGAACGTGAAACTGAATGATTCAAGTCAACAAATTGAATGTTGTATCACCCAAATTGCAACCACGAGTTACAAGTCCAAAATAGTCACCTTCCTAAATTCTGATTGGTCCATATTGAAACCCATTTCAATTTTCAATTAACGCGTCTTCATTTCAAAAGTTTGTTCGGCTTAGCTTATAATTCCCCATAGAAACACGAAATAGAAATGGAAGTTATTAAACCCAAAACAAACTATGCTAAAGATAGTGGTAAGTAAACGCGCTATAAAAAATTTGGTATTCGTATGATGAATATAATATTAAAATCTTCGATAAATGCTTTATCGATTTCAAAAGAGGAGGTGAACTTTTTTTTTGAGAAATATCAAGATGCACAACTGGATATGGAATTAGACGTGGAAAATATGGACGTTGACGTGGAAACTGTACATCCTTCAAGATATATTAAAAAGCTTGTGAGTTATCTTAAATGAATTGAAGGATATGATTCTAATATAATAGCTAAATATATCGAAATTTTCTCAATTTAGAGGGCAGTAGCAAACCGAGAGGATGATAAAATTATTTTTGAGCTGGACGATATTCAAGCCGTAATTAAAATAATTTTTGGTTATTTATTTTTTATTTTTATTTTTATTTTTTTAATCTAATATTTGTTGATATTTGATAACTTTAGTTTGAAGATGATGGAAATGTTACAAATGGTTTGGTTCGCAAAATCATGACAAACACTTGGCATTATATTGAATTAATTTATCGAATTTGTGATAAATTAATGCCTATACCCATAAATCCCATTGGTCACATGGATGATGTTTTGGATGTTATCATGCAACATAGAAAGGATAAAGATCAAAATAGAGCACCCGAAGATAGAACACGTTTTCCAGCTGCTTTAACGAGAAGATAGTGAGTTTTCAATTCGAAATACATTATAGCGCCCGTATAATAATAATTATAATACTAATAATTTGTTTATTTATTTATTATTAAAGTTCACTGTATTTGAAACCATTAAAATCTGAAAAAACACTAGCTATTCGCGAAGTTAATGGTTCTAACGTAGGTCATTTGGTAACAGTCAAAGGAATTATCACACGGGTCAGCGATGTTAAACCTTTCTTATTAGTTGCGGGATATTCGTGTGAAATGTGTGGCGATGAAGTGTTTCAAGAAGTCACCAAAAAGAATATTACGCCACTTGTGATATGTCCTTCCGAGAAATGTCAGAAAAATAATGTGAAAGGGAAATTATATATGCAAACTCGTACATGCAAATTTATCCCATTTCAAGAAGTTAAAATGCAAGAATTAGTACGTACAATTTTTATAATTTTAATGAAATAATTGATGATTATTATTAAAATTAATTATTATTATTATTCATTTTAATTTTAATTCTTTAGACTGAACAAGTTCCAGTGGGTCATATTCCTCGATCCATGACAATATTTTTGCATGGAAGTTTGACGCGTTCGATGAATCCTGGCGACATAGTTAGTGTTTCTGGAATATTTCAAGCGACACCACATCATGGTTATCGGGGTACAACTAGTCTGTTAACTGATGTTTATTTAGAAGGTCAATATATAAGCCAGCTGAAAAAGCAATACAATAAAATGATAACAACTCCTGAAATCTCAGAAAAGATACGAGAGCTTGCTCAAGACCGAGATATCTATGAAAAGTTGTCAAGAAGTATTGCACCGGAAATATATGGTCACGAAGATGTAAAAAAGGCTTTGTTGTTACTGTTGGTCGGAGGTGTGTCAAAATCCATGGGTGACGGGATGAAAATTAGAGGAGACTTGAATATATGTCTTATGGGAGATCCTGGTGTAGCCAAGTCTCAGTTGCTCAAGTACATATCAAAAGTAGCACCACGTGGAGTTTATACTACTGGACGTGGTAGTTCTGGAGTTGGTTTGACAGCATCTGTGACTCGTGATCCCGTAACCGACGAAATGATTTTAGGTAAATTCGAATTATCATGAATTATATATATATATATATAAATATTATTTTTTTGTTTTTGATAATTTACGCGTCAAATGACCATCAATCTTTATGTTATATTCAGAGGGTGGTGCTCTAGTACTTGCTGACAATGGTATTTGTTGTATCGACGAATTCGATAAAATGGAAGATGGCGATCGAACAGCCATTCATGAAGTTATGGAACAACAAACTATAAGCATCAGTAAAGCAGGTATTACAACCACGTTGAATGCACGTACATCCATATTAGCTGCCGCGAATCCTCTATACGGACGATATAATATAAAGAAATCCCCAACACAAAACATCAATCTACCCGCTGCTCTTCTGTCTAGGTTTGATATTCTATTTTTGATTCTGGATAAGCACAATGTCGAAGATGATACCAAATTAGCGGAGCATGTCGCACATGTGCATCAGCATGGTAAACATCCAGAAATGGAAAGTGATCTTTTGGATGTTCAAATGATTAGGTAAATAAATGTAAACCTCTCATTTAAATTTTGATAAATTTATTAATAATCGCTTTTATTCATTTAGACATTATGTTGCCGAAGCACGTTCAAAACGTCCGGTCGTTCCACCTGATGTTTCATCATATATGGTTTCTTCTTATGTTCAGATGCGTCAAGAACAGGCAGATGCAATGGCTAACAAAAAAGCACACACTTATACTAGTGCACGTTCTCTTTTGGCAGTAATTCGTTTATCTCAAGCATTGGCTCGTGTTCATCTGAGAGACGAAGTCATGAGACAGGATGTTAGCGAAGCATTAAGATTGCTTGATGTCTCTAAAGAATCATTGAATAAAGACGAAGATGATGATGAAGGAGAGAATGATGATGATAATGAGGGAAATGATAATGATGAAGGAAATGATGATGATGATGATGAAGGAAGTAATGAAGAGGATAAGTAATAATTACATCAAACATCAAATCCAACTTTGCGTTAAGTAATAATATGTAATAAGAGTGTACTCTTTTATTGCTAGCTAAAAAAAAAAAAAAAAAAATTAACACGATTATGATTACTGTAATAATGAACCTTATCATATCTTTGAATATAAAAACGTGTAAAAGAAATATAATGTTTTTGAGTGAAATTTAATTCATTGTTCCAATCATTTTATTTTTTTTATTTCAAATCTTCGTCATCGAAATCATCATGAAAATCTATTCAAAGAATTTGTAAATAAATTGAAAATGAAAATAAAACAAAAAAAAAAAATAAATAAATAAGGTCAAAGTTTACTTATTACCATTAAAAAAATCCGAATCCACCGTTTTATCACCCTGTTGATTTTGTCGATGATGAGTGCTACCTTTATGGTGTTGTGGATGTGTAGGACTTGGGAAGAAACCTTCATCGAAACCTCCATGATGACCATGGTGACTACTACCTTCTCTCATATAATTTGACGGATGATATGAAGGTCCAGCTGTTCCATCTAACTGACCATCTTCGTATTCGTCCATTGCCATAGGATCAAAGTAATCATCTCCTTGAATAATTAACATTTAAACACAAAGAATTTATAATAATATTATTATACATCGGTCGTGAGAATATGTTAATACCCGTAGAAAAGTTACTTCAGAAAAGTAAAATTAGAGGGTAAAACTTAAATCTTAAACGGTATAGAATGTATTTTTTAACTTACCTTCACCTTCTGCCATTTGAGACATATTGTCGCTTACAATTTTATCGTTAGAAATTTGCTTTCTTTTACCTATCGTGAAAATTTGACTAGTTTTAATTTTATTTGAAAGAATAAATAACAAAACGTTTGGTTTTTATTGTTACTTGCCTCAGAATAAATAAAATCGACTCAAATAGTTTAAAGACCCCCGGTACCAATTTCTAAATTTATCCATGGATTTAACATAAAAAAGTCATGACGTTTAAATCATTTGTAATGCTGTCCAGCATATCAATTCTGGTTTGCATAGAAATGAACACTACATATTATCTTGCGACAGCATCTTTATTTTAATTTTTTTTTTTTTATTATTTACTATTTTCGAGCAATATTAAATGATTTAATTTAAATTCTTTCATGTCATTAAATTTCTGAAAACTAAATCTAAATTGTCATTTTGATTCAATACACTTTTAAATTACGTAAAGAACGAAATTATAAAAGATGCAGCAATTCATATTCACTCCAATTCTAAAAAGTATTTCAAAATGAAGTTGGTTCAAAAAAATAAAATAAAATAAAATAAAATGAATGAATTTAAAGACAAATAAGTCGCATATTACGTATGTAATTCGGTTTTATTGTTTTTTTTTCGTCAGTAACTAAAATTTCGATACCCGTAATATTATTATCGATTTCTTCCAAATTTACTTTACAAATGAGCTTTAGCTTCTTTTCGCAACTCATATAATTGACCAAGTTGTTGATCATTAAATCTTTCTAATTTATCCGAATCAATTTTCTTCCCATACGTTGTAATATTTTCTGATTTGGCGGAATTTATTTGAGTTTCTAATACATCCAAATAAGCTTGCCATTGATCAAGAAATCCCACAATGTGAATAGGGTTTGTAATGTCCTTATGACGTCTGAATTCAGCTTTAACATAATTATCACCAATTGATCGTAATGATGGTGGTAACGACCGATGAGAACGTAAAATTTTACGATAGAGAATTAAGGGTGGAAAGAGGCTTTTTGCCTGTGAAATTAAAGTCATTTTTTTTTTATTACAAATTTGATCTTAAAAAAAAAAGTAGGATATTTACTTTTATATTTGAACGTGGGTGCATTAGCCGCAGTAAATCTTAACGGCCAAATTTGGAAAACGTGAAGAGCTCGCGTTTTCTGTTCTCTTGCAAAGACTTTTTTATTGTTTCTCGGAGTACTATTCCCTCTAACTTTTGGTTTTTATAATATTACAAAAAATTTTTAATAAAGCGTATCTTTGAATTCAAATTTATTAGTTTTATTTTATTTTATTTTATTTTCCGTTGATCATTAATTCAATAAACGTTCCTACTTTTACTGCTTATAATTTTTTTGTTGGTGTAAATACATAGATTGTCTGAATTATCGAATAATAATCAACTTGGTTTATTGTAATTTGAAGAAATACTTAATAAACCTATAAACTATGAACGGCGACTTCGAAGATTCAAGAATTACAACAAATTGGTTGGAATTTCTTCCTTATCATCCAATATTTAATTCTGAGAAATTAGGAAAAACCCAAGACGATTGTAAGCTATTTATTTAATTTTTATTCTAAAATATTTTTATATGTTTTCGTGAAATAATTGGAGAATGAATTATAATTTATATATATTCAAGTTCAAGGGTTGAAATTTTACGGACAGCCGAGAACAAAACCATCATGTATAACAGCTACAGGAAGCAAACTTCTAATCGTTGCTATAGATTCAGAGATCAGAATCTTAAATTTAATGGAATTCAAACTTGCATGGCGTAAAGCATATGATCTTGATCAATTGAACACACTTGAATTTGATGAGTATTTACCAGAATGGATGGCCAAGGTCAAATACATCACACTTGACACCCCCTCAATAAAATACACCATCCGTTCGCTTATTGTCAACTTTAAGGAAAAAGGAACGTTACTTTCAGTGATTGGTGATTATGAAGTTTCCGTGTTAGTCATACCGAAAACTGTATTTTCAGATACAAGCAATGACAAAATCACTTGCAAGTTAAGATGATATCAATTATTTTACATTTATTCAAAACGACTTTGTTGAATTTTTTTTTTAATTTGAACTCATTGTCATCAATTTATGACGACCCAACAGAGCCTACAATATCGGGCCATATTATCATATTCTAGGACAAAGTCCTATCGCAAAGGTATTATGGCATCCCATGAGCGAGTCAGGTTCACACTTAATGGTTCTTACGGAAAATATGCGCTTAAGGTTTTAGACATTTTGAAAGTTATGAAATAATCATTTTTAACTATTCTCGTCGATTAATTTAAGTTTCTGAATTTAGAATGTATAATGTAATCGATGATGTCAATGAACCTGAGCATACCTTTATTTGTACTAAATCCGAAACCCCCCCAAAAAATCAGAGAGCCGTGTCATTCTGTTTTGGCCAGTCTTCTGAAGCTTGGGGTAATTTTGTGATATATATCTTAACAAATTTGGGAGAGATTTATGCTATGTGTCCGATCGTACCAAGTAGATGGTAGGAGTAAGAAGAGATTGAATCACTCGCTTTATTGTTAAAAATTATTCGAAATTTTGGCTTATTTATATATTGTATTTTTTTTTTTTTTTATTATTAGTGTTTGTGAAAGATCATTCCTCGAGATGCTCTCAAGTTACATTAAACGTAAACATGAATATGGTCTGGAGATGGTTGAAAGGACTGATGGACGTGACTATTTAGATATTTTAGAACAATATCGTTTGCAATTTAAATGGATTAAAAGATTGATGAATTTAGAAGGCCACTCTAAAAGAGTTGTTTTTAGTCCACCACCATTTGATCATTTACGGGTTGAAGTTCAAGGGCCATTCAATATTCATCCGGACCCGTTGAGTATATCTGAACATACATATGAAGCCAGTGATATATTGATGTTAGAAACGGAGCCTCTTATCGTTTTGGTTGTAGCTTTCAATAATGGTCGAATAGACATTTGTCTTGAGGTCGAAAAGGTTGAAGCTAAGTGGCAAATTCCAGATATCGTAAGTTAGTGAGCTTTGAATCTGAATTATGGTTGATAAAAAAAAATCTTTTGATTTATTATTATTTACTAACAGGTACCTGGAGAATTCACGGCTCATAATATAATACTTTATGAATGTATCGATCTTGGCTACATCAAACATTATGTTATACCAACTTCGGGTTGTATACCACAACTAACAACGTCAATAAATCATCCATGTCTCGTACCCGATCCTTATTATCGAGACACATTTTATGTATATCATCTGGCGGGTGCACATGGAATTAATGTTAAAGAATGGCTGGAAGAACTGCGAAAAGTTGTAAACGATCCAAAGAATAAGGGTTCTTCTGCAGAACTTATCTATGAATCATTTTTTTCAAAAAACCTTAAATCTCAGATTAATTGGATTGTTTGTACTCTTCCAAGGTAAAACTTTCAAATTATTGCTTATTTATTTTTAAAATCAGATAATAAACTTTATATATTTATTTATAGTGATCCGGATCCTTTAATTGGACTCACAATAATGGAAGACATACAATTGTGTCATGCTGCATTTATGCTTTCATCTACATACGGTTTCGTTTACCATGAATTATCGGCTCGTAAATCCTCCAATAATATTCTTTTTAACGAGGAATTAAGTCCTATGATGACTTCTGACTTACCAAAGGTTAATCCAATGCCAGATATTTTGACTAAATTTTTAAATAATCAAGGTCTCTCACGTCAACCAATAATGGTATCATCACATAGTCAACAAAATAATCAAGGAAAATCGTCTTATGAAATTGACATAGAATTTCTTCATACTGTAATGGGAAATATTCAAAAAGATGTTTATGAACTTAAGGAAGCTGCGATGGCTCTTCAAAAGAGGTAAAAAAAAATCAAAAATAAAAAAAAAAAACTTTTTTTTATCATTTAAATTTCATCAATTTTGAGATTAATCGACGAAATTTATTTAAACTATATAACAGGTTTATTTTTCAAACTAAAGAATTTCACCGCCAAGTTGCTGAAATAGCCAATTTACGTAGAATTATCGAAAGTTATTCTGAAGATAAAGTACCACAATTGAATGAGCGGTTGAATACTTTGAGAAATAAACAAAAGTATCTTGATAGTAAAGCTGATAGATTTATTCAAAGGATAATGAATAAAGGAGATCTGACTTTAAGTGAATTTGAGAAACAATACTATGATTCTTTGGAAAAAATAGCAAAAGAAATTAAGGGCGAAAATGGTCTAAAGAACAAAATAATGATGGTTCTATTTCTTTAATCATTTTCACTTTATTGAAATTATTTATATTCACAAAGATTAATTATATGTTTTTTTAATTTCATTTTATAGCTTCAAAATCGTCACAAGCTTTTGCAAAGTGATTATAAACTCTTACAACCCGAACCAGAAAAAGATCAAATGGGACAACCTATAGTTCTCAGTGGAAATCAATTAAGCAAAGTTGAAAATGCATTGGATAAAGAGTAAGTTATCAAATTATTTACAAAGATATAAATATTCTTATACCTAAAAATTCCTTTTTCTTTTGTTATATAAAATTAGGATGGAACTTATTAATAAAAATAAACAATTGATTGAAGAAGTTCAAGAAAAGTTGAAACTTATTAAAATAAAAAAATGAAATTAATTTTCTATTAAATAAACTCATCAATAAATGAATAAATATATTTTGTAAATCAAAAATTAAGGATTACTTTATAGCTATTAAACTTAGCATACATTGATATTTAATAAATCTTTATTTTTTATTGAATAATTATTATTTATATAGATAATTTAATAAATTTATTTCATTTAATGCATAATAAAAATATTAAAATATTAAAATTAAAGTTTAATAAAAAGTTGAATTTTGAATTTTATTAAAATAAGAAATTTGATTATTATTTTATATAATATAAGTTTAGGAATTTTAGAATAAAATATCCTCATATTGTATATAAAGGTCTTTAAAGTTTCAATTTATATTGTATACCTTTTTTAAGTCTAATGATTTTATTCATTAGATTTAAGATATATATTAAAACTGTTGCTGTATAAGTTTATTTATTAATTAACAAAAATAAATCTAACAGTCCTTATTACTCTATAAATAAGTCTAACAGTTTTCTTAGGTTTAAGAAAATTAATAAAATAAGTTTAATAATCCTAATAAGGATTAGCGTAAATATGTTTGATATGAAGCAGAAATATAAAATCTTAATAGAAAAATAGAATAATTTAAAAATATTTTAAAAGAAAAAATATTAGAACTGAAATCCAAAATCTCTAACCTAAAAAATTAGTCATATTAAACTAAAAAAAATGTATAAAATAAGAAAAAATATATCTTAAGCCTAGAAAAGTAGTTAGTAAAATCTGAAAAATAAGTTAAAAAATTATGATGTAAAATCAAAATCATTTTATCACAAAAAAATATTTCAAAATAGAAATATTCTTTAAATCAATATAATTCTAATAATAATATAGTAACAATCACAAAATTAACAAATATTATAAATAGTTATCTGAATAACTTCTCAACAACTACTAGAAAAATTCTAATAGACTATATAAAACAAATTACAATTAGAGTTTTGAATCTGATTTGACAGATTAAGTATTAACTCAAAAAATTTGAAACAGGTCAGATAGTTGATATGACTTAATTCAACTTGAATTTTTAATTAAAAATTTCAAAATTTAATAATTTTATTAATATTAATCTATTTAAGATGATGTAAATATTATTTAGTTTTTTTTTAAACTTCCATTTGAATTCTTATGAAAAATTTAACATATAATTTTTCAAAAAATTTTTTATTTTATTTTATAATATTTCTACAATATAACACTCAATATATTTAAAAACCTTTTTACTCAAGACATTTTTAACTTTTAAAACTCAAGACCTATATTATTTCTAAAAGCTTTTATTATTGTAAAGTTTTTTTTATATAAAATACCAAAAGTTTTTTAACTTATTTGAAAACTAAATGAAAAATATCTAAAAATTTTTTCTTTAAAGTGAACTGTTTAGAAAATATTTTTAAATAAAAACTTTATTAAAAATTTTATACAAACTTTTATTTATAATATATATAAAGTAAAAACTAGTTATTATAGATCAAATATTACAAAAGAAATAATTTTTAATACTATAAAGATTACCTTCTTATACAAGAAAACAAAGATATTATTTTTATAATTAGTAAAAATAATGTTTAACAAAATATGAATATAATTAAATAACAATAATATGCTTACTAACATTAATATTTTAAGACATAATTTTTTTTCTTTTTCACTTCTTCTATTTAAAGCTTCTAATTGTCATCATTTTAAGAAAGTAAATACAATTAAAACTTGATATAATGAATTTAGCGTTTAGACTGATTAGACCTTTATTATATAACATTATAACGAATTATTTAGTATAATAGATAATTACTAATTTTATTACATAAATATAATTTTACTATGATATAATTTTTCTAGAAATAATTTCATGTTATTTTGTAAATTTTAGTCATTTTATTTAATATACAATTTGTTAATTATTATATAATAGTTTTATTAATTTATTAATTTATTTTTTTAAAAAAAAATTTAATTTATCATTTTTTTTAAGAAAATTAAAAAATAAATTAAAAAATAAAAATAAATTGAAAAGAAAATGAAATGAGACAAAAAATAAAATTGAGAAAACTAAATAAAATAAAAAACAAAATTAAAAAAATTAAATGAAATTATAAAATGAAATTAAAAAAATGAAATAAAACTATAAAAATGAAATTAAAAAAATAAAATGAAATTATAAATGAAATTAAGAAAATAAAATAAAATTAAGAAAATGAGACAAAATAAAAAAATAAAATTAAATAAACAAAATGAAATAAATAAACAATTTTTAAAAAATTAAAAATAAACTAAAAAATATTTTATAATTATTACTTTACAAATATGTTATAATTTTATTTTATATTACAGATTTACCTTATAATAAGTAAATTACGATTTTTACTTCAAGTATACCTCGATTCTAAAAAAGTAAATATGTTTAATATAAATTTAAAAATCAATTAAATGTTTTTAATTAATTACAGAATCAAGTTCTAAAGATGTTATATAATCTTTTTGTTATATACACTGGTCGAAATCAAAAAAATCAGACATGCGAAAAATCAGCCTAAATTCAACCTAAATTCAGCAAATTATCAAAAAATCAGCCTAGCCGATTGGTATACACTAAAAATCAGTCAATAATCAGCTGAAATTTGACCTATCTTATTTATAACTGATTGGCATATTTATTGCCGATTGGCATACGTCAAAAATCGGCTAAAATTCAACCCATCTTATTTATAGCTGATTGACGTCTGATTTACATCTGATTAATATACATCAAAAATTGGCTAAAATTTGACCTATCTTATTTATAGCTGATTGACGTCTGATTTACATCCGATTGATATACATCA